CACGTGGTCTACAGGTACGGTATTACCCTCTCATTCAATAAGTCCCGGGTTCGAAACCTAACAGAGACGGAACATTTTATTTTCTAACATTTCCTCCTTGCACCTCCTTTCCTGCTCTCTACTCATGTTTTTTCATCTGCTTGCATCTCCATTTTCTCCGTACTCTGAGCTCCTGACTCTTTCTTCAGCTACTCCAGGCTCCTTCTTACTGCTGTCATTCGATCACACCCCTGATCTTAGGGTAGTTAAAATCCAACACCTTGCTTTCTGTGATAAGGGTGAACATTTTTCGGAGGTCTCATGTGCAAATTGCGCATGTTTAAGATCTCTCGGTGGTCCTAAAATCGATAATAATTGGCTTCAGCAGCCACCCAGTCACAATTCAAAATTAATACCTACCAAACTGAAATTGCCCAATGTGTCCACGCCCTCATATGACCCTTATGCAGTTGCGCGCGCCACAAAACACTAACCAAAACAAAACAAGGACCCATTGAGAGATCAAGAACCAAACAAGGACCTTTCCTCCCACTTTTGTCTGTCTTGCATATTGTGTGTTGCAAGCGGCTCTTCATTTTGATCCGTAAAAAGAAGAAGAAGCTCGCCCATTTATAATTAAAAACCTTTAACCTATCTACAAAATGATAGTACAAAAAAAAGACAAAGTCGACGAAGAGTGTGCTGAAAGAAGATTAATGAAAAGACAGAAGGTCAAGCATTGGAAAAATTATAAAGTTAAGAAAAAAAGTCGAAGAGTGTGTGTATGTATGTGTATGGGGAAAAAGGGTGTGGCTTTGAGTACTCATGGTTGGGTGTATCTTTGTGTATGGCCACCACTGGACATTACAAACGACGCGTTCAAATGTGACGAGTCCATAGGAGGACATATGAGGCACTAGTTCTGGAAATTCCACAATTAAAATTGTATTTTCTTCTAAAAAACGTAACAGGGATTCACAGGGTAGGTTTTGACAAGAAAAGGAAGAGAACAAAGCAAAACAATCATTTCACGACCCTCCTAACAACATCTTTTCAATTGGCGCATTTTGCGGTTACAGCTGGGTTTTTTTGTTGTTGATAAAAGCCATTTTCATTTTTTAAAACAAGTATCTTCTTTATGAAATTTATGTCCAACAATTTCCTTTTGAATTAATATATAT